CCAAGGGCAAGATTGGGAAGCTTGGCGAGGCGGAGGATGTGTTGGACGCGACGGCTTTGAAGGGGTAGCTATGCATGCGGATGGTTGTCTGACTTCTATCACTCGCTGATAGACCGTATCAATGGTTTAGGATTCGAACGAGAACGAATATTTGTTTTGTACAGACAGATGATGTCTCTCGATGATTCCCCTCGCATCCTCTCTCCATTGTACACACATTTGCGTAACGATCCTCGAGCGACTTTCAACGCGGCGCCTTCTCCACACCAGGCCGCATTGACCAGCGATCCCACGTCGAGTGAGTTACAGTGCTGAGCCAAAGACCCAGAAGGAGCAGAAGTGGCGTTGTGGCGATTGTAAACGCAGTAAACGCAGGGGTCTTTTCGCCATCCCTCAGCGCCGCCGTTATCAGACATGCGGCAACAACGCTGATTCACAAAGAGCATGAATGTTGGAGCAGATAAGACGGGACGATTCAGCTGGCAGACTATGTGGCGAGTACCTACCTGCTTCAAGTACAAAACTACTGGGACCAAAGACTACTCTGCCCTGAGACATAATTATGGGCGCATAGTGTAAATTTGACATTGGTTCATGTCCGAAATGCCGTCCAAGATGCCACAGCGACTGTCAATCGCATTGAAATCAGTTCTAGAAAGCAACACTACGCAGAAAGAGCAAAAATAACTCCTCGACGGGGAATTGAACCCCGGTCCCCTGCGAATCGTTGTCAGGGAATAATTCCCCGATGACAAGCAGATATCCTCACCACTAGACTATCGGGGAAGTGTGGATGTGAGCATCCAGTGATAGTTGGTTGGGGGCCACAGCCCACTTGGCATAGATGTAGCAAGTCTGGGGGTGGGCGACGAGGTGTGACGTGGGCTATGTGAGTTGAGGAAAGAATCTCTCTGGAAATGGAAATGTACTTTGAGATGAGACGACGAGAAGACACCGCGATCTCATGTGTTTCCTTTCATGTGTTTGAGTAGCATCTATCCTTAATTCTGTGTCTTTCATTGACGATAGAGTGGATAGCAGGCCAACACTTGACGCCTGATGAGCAAGTATAAAGTGGGGGTAGATACGTCTGGTAAGCCCTATTGAGGAGATCTTGGAAGTCTTATCCACGGGAAGATATAATCAAGCTGCTTCCATCATGGACTCTGTGGGTGTTTTGGAGGAATCCCTCGCATATATGTGTGGTAGATGACATTGGAAGAAGCTGGCGGCGACAGGCATCATATAGAGGCGAGAGACGACGCCGCCGCCACAGCAAGTTCTCCCGAACTCTCAGTTCAGAAGTATACTGTAAGAGGTTTTGGTTTTTTCTCAAAATGTTATCCCGAAGCCTACATTTCATCGTAGGAAAATCGGCCAAAGTTTACTAGGTCCCGTCCATCCCAACCATTCTACCCATCTGGAAGGTCCTGACTAACTTCTCTGCCAGCTCACCCGTTACCTTAGCCTTGGCCGCACCAGTGGATTATACGTAGACTCCATGGCCGAGTTGCTTGACCGAATGCGCGAAACATGTACAGTTTTCGCCTTTACTTGACGGTAACAGCGCGAAATTGCCTGCAGCTCCTCCGAAGTCGTCCACCAATGCTCCGCCATACTCACATGGTTAGACGTTGTCAAAGTCAGGCTAGCAACCATCCAGTTTGAAGCAGTCCGGACATCTGCCTCATTTCTGACCAACATCCTCGTATGACGAACGGTAAACACAAGAAACAAGGCGCTAGAGTGAAGTCGATGCCGTCTACCTGAAGCTTTCCGGCAACAATGCGTCTTTCCACGGAAGGGAGCACGTAACTCTTTGCCAGAACTATATTGCCAATCGCGGAGATGTCCTCTTTCGCGCTGTTAGGAAGAACTCATAGGACTTCCTAGTAGTCCCCGATCGAGAGCCTGTCTTCTTTGTCTACATGGCGAAGTTAGGCCCTCGACCGTGCACTCTTTTCACATACCGAGCAGATCTACTCGAGACCCAACCTTGAATAAGGCGAGGCGAGCGAGTGGTTAACTACCTTATAGAATGGAGAAATAGGTAAGTGATTCCTGTCCAAGTGTATTGTACCGACAACCAGGACGAGAGATCGCAGCGTGGGACCACTGGATGCATGGCCTCCCCAGGGGAAAGGTGAGTCCAAGATTGCAGATCACGGCTGTCCGATCCCTCCGAGCTGCAGCCCTGGAGTTGCCGGACAGCCCGTCAGGTGAAGAAATGACACTAACAGAGTTCGTCCACAATTTAAGGTATAGCCCTTGTATACAATCAATTAAGGTTGAAGAGACATTGACGCTCATTTGACGTTCCTCAATATTAATTGCTGAAGCGAAAGGGAAAACCCTCGCTTTTATTGACGATTCCACTCTGAACAGTCCGAGCTTCAGGAAACGTAACTTATAGATATTGAAGAAATCAGTGTCCTTGAATATGACAGTTCTCAACATGTTTCCAATCATTTAGTGGTACTTCCTTCCCAGGAAGCAAAAATTGATCAAGTACTAACCCATATACGCTCATTACAACACGTTCGTTATCATGAAGAGGTCCACAGCCATCATACTCGCCTTGCAGTGCGTATTGACACCAGGCCTCGCAAGAGTAACACCACGAAGTGACTACACGGAAGAAGCAAGCCAACCCGTTCACTCTCTTCAAGCTCGACAACAGGACTCATCAGACAAAGGTGTCTTGGAGAATGAGGTGCGCGATGGCACCTGCAAAGATACCATGTTCTTCTTCCTCCGCGGAAGCACTCAACAGCCGAATATGGTGAGTAAACCCGGCTTGCAAAGCCTCGATGATATCTTTGCCTTGAGCGCATTGAGAACTAACAGTCCACCACAGGGATTGCAACCGGGCCCTCAACTCGCGGCGTACCTCCGCTCAACCCTCGGCGCGGACAAGATTGCTATTCAAGGCATTGAGTACGCCGCAACGCTGCAAGACAACCTCTGCATCAACAACCAGCTGTGCCGGCCGCGCGAGGTCACCAGCGCGAGCACCCAGATCCGCGAGTACATGGACCAGTGCTCCGACTCTGATGTCGTCGTCGGAGGGTACAGCCAAGGCGCTGCGATGCTTTCCCGCGTGATTTCGGATAGGCTTGGATCGGAATACAAGGACCGGATCGTGGCCGCCGTGACATTTGGCAACACTATGCAGGTGTACAACAAGAACACGATACCCGGTCTGGCACCGGAAAGAGTGCAGACGTTTTGCAACAAATTTGACCCGGTCTGGTAAGTCTTGAACACACCCCAGCTTTGCAAATGAAGGCACTGAGACGGTCTCGCTAACACCATGTGACCGCAGCCGCAACGGTCTACCCCTCGGCGCCGTGATGCCAGGCCACAGAGACTATCGCCCCTCCGCCAAACCCGCCGCCGAGTTTCTCGTGCAGAAGCTCGCCGCCGCCAAAGGCTGGACCACCGTCCCCATCGTCTCCGACATCGACCTCTCCCACTTTGCCGACGTGGGCTTCACCTTCCGCGAAATCTACCGCGGCGCGCCCGCCGGCAGCTCAACCTCCTTCAACGACGGCACAGAACTCGCCAAGCTGGACAGCGTGCGCGTCGTCTCCATCTTTGGCCGCGGCGCCGCGCGGGTCGACGCGCTCGGCGTCAAGATGGACGGGGGCCCCGACGGGGCGCAGGAGCACGGCGGTAGCGGCGGGAATTTCAAGGAGCTGACGCTGGAGGAGGGGGAGTACTGGATCATGACGGAGGTGTGCAACGGCCGGAAGAAGAAGAAGGACCGCGTTGGGTTCTTTCGGGCTTCGACTAGTCTGGGCCGGGTACTGGAGGTTGGGTCGAGGACGAATGATCGGTGTGTTACATTTGTGCCGGGTGAGGGCCGCTCGTTTGTAGGTATGCATGGGGAGTCTGGGGAGGAGGTGGACTCTGTTGGGTTTATTGAGTATCCCAAATTGGATTAGATGATAGCGCTGAAGCAAGATACATAAGTAGACGATCGAGTCTTTGTGGGATACCCAACTATGGGTCATCCGAGTTGTCCTCCATCATGCCTATGTAGACCAGACCGTTCATCCTTGTCATGATTTTCCCCGTAGGAAAACGCATAAAGTTGGACAGTCTTGCGATAGGCTGAAGCTAAGATGCACAAAGCTGATCCCTGGTTCTTCAAAGCTAGGCCTAGCCCTCTCTTCTACGGGGATTAGAGCGAGGAAGCTTCTCTCCACTGAGATGTGTGTTGAAGAAGAGCCTGCGGAACGCACAGTTATTGACGAAGATGAGCTTCTACAGTTGAATTCTTATGTGAGACCTCAAGGGACTGGTGCTGGGAATATCGAGTTTACCCGCGGGATGCTAAGAATTCCAAAGCTGTATCTCCTCGGGTTCTACTCAAGTTGAAGTCCTCTTGATACCTGAGTCTCGCTAACAGATAATCTCACGATATTTTTCATAGTAAGGTCGTCGTCTTGATGTTGGTGTTAAGTTTATCAGCGTTTTCGCCATGTGTCCAAGGGAGTCTTCAGCTTGACATTCCTCAACCGATATGTCTCTTGGAACATTGCTTCCTTCTTTGACGTCGGGTTAATGAGAGCGCAGGATAAATTATAGGAGTGAATTCGGCACAATACTTGTAGAATGGTTTACATTGAAAGTGTGATTGCTATTAGAATCAGCCAAAAAAACGTACATAGCAGTAACTAAATTTCTGTACGGTACAGTGAAGAGAAAGATGTTCTTTGCGAAGTCGAAATATATTTTGTCTTTGTGGTATATGTCGTACAAAATTGGCATGAAACTGTGAGCGTCCGTTATGATCTGTTCCTGATATCTCTTGTAATTCCTGTGTGTCAATTCCCGACTCCTGGAAGTGACAGTTTAAATAAACCAAAACGCCGATTTCGAGTATTCCCCGGCCGGGTATCGTTGTGTGGAAGTTCCGCAATGGTAATCACCATTCATCGTAACCAGAAGCTGTTTCGCTAGGTAAATATGGTGGTTTCTGTTTTTTCTTTTTACTAGGAGGCGGTGTCTCGTCCAAAGCTCTGAAAGGTTCCCTGGGGTTGATAATTGGGGATGGCGACAGGAAGGCTCGGGTTGGCTTGTTGGGTTACTCTCGTTCCCCCTTTCAGGACGTTGGTGAGCCAACAGACAATCATAGTCGAGATGCCAATGTAGAATGGCAGCAATTCGAACAGAAGCGGATCTCTGAGCGCTGCCGTTTTGCAGTCGGACGACCACCAGCCCGCCGTCGGCCACACCATGAGGCCGGCAAGGAAGCTCACCACCAGGGCGAAACTAGGGTGCTGTCGTGTTAGAGCGATTCTTGTGTTCTGCAGCTTCAGGGACAACTCACAGTGACATTTGAATTCCGTACGGCTTAGTGGTTGCTTTCAAGTACAAATAGCTGTACATGATACAGGCCATATAGAGCCTACGGAATCATCAGATCATGTTGATATTCAGTTCTTGCATGTAACTCACATAGTCGAGACCAATATATTTCGATCTATGGTGAGGAAGAAGTGGCCGTAGAATACCATAGTGGTCAAAAGGCCAACGAAGCTTGTTACTTTTGTCTCCAAGTAGCAGGTAACAAATAGGCCACCCATGACTATGGCGCAGAAGGTTGCATTCTGATTGGCACTGTTGGTGATCCAATTTCCTGAAGAGGCATCCACGGGACTCGGGGTTTGATGGGTCGGCGTCGTTTGGGTGCTTGCATCTGCTGATGCCACCATCAGTCCAAAAGCCAAGACTGTAAAGAAGCCTCGAAGCCTATTCGACAGGTATGAATGTTTTGACAGTGTAATGGATCGGGGTTGTGTTGGTAGAGTTATCGCTTGCTGTTGCTTTGTCCATCTTTGCTGGAGGACCCTGCCTTCCTTGGCTAGGGTCGAAGGAGTCTGCTCCTGGAGAGAACAGTCTCCAAAGAGATGGACTTCAGGGTCTCCGGAGGGATAGATGAAGGACGGTTGATAAGTTCGGCTTGGGTGCAGGCGCCGTGGGGAGTGTGAAGAGAAGGCTTCCGAATCATGCATTCCTCCTGTGTTGACAGGGTATTGTATGTGTGACTTCGAAATAGATAGTAGTCTATTGTTATGGTTGTCTTAGCGAAAGTTGTGGCAACTCAAGAAGCTTTGAGATTGGTATTATCTGGGGTCTTTACAAGAGGCCTACGCGGGATGAACAGTTTGTTTGAGAGCTCGTGTATACTTTTGCTTGAGTGTTCAAGGTAGTATTCGGTGGAGAGAAATCGTACTGAGTTACATAAAAGTCTGAATCGAGGATTGAAGATCGGAAGTGGTCGTCTGGAAAGAGGTTGGAGAAAGGCGAAAGACGCCCTCTCTAGCTAAATCCAGTGGAAAACTTTAATATAGAATGAATAAAACTTGAGCTCAGAGAAACGAATTGAAAAAAAAAACATGAGGGGATCGTGAATGCTATAGGCAAACTGAGTGGACGGGTTGATTAACAAACTGGACTGGTACGGGCCCCTCTAGCTAGGCTTGCCAGAATCGTTGCTAAACCAGTCCCCGTAGTTGAGCGGCTAAAGGCGGCTCACCGAGAAAAACGTATTGGTTTCCATTAATCACCAAAAAGGTGCCGTTTCTTTGTCCCAAGGGTGCCAAGGTGGAAAGGAAGCCCGCGTGACTTTTGAAGAAGGTAGTATGACGGCAATGGCTTGATCATGCTGGCGTTTTACCCCGCTATCTTTGTGTCAGAGTCTAGTTTATCTTAGTTTCTCTTCATCTATTTCTCATAAGTCAAGCGTAATTCCTCTCTCAACAAAATTGACGACGGCCGCCTATCTCGCGGGGAAAGGGGGTTACGCAACTGCTCCTACTTTGGTTCGATTCCAATCAAAACATCAAAGATGAAGAGAATGGGATTTGAAGTGTCCAAGCGCATCGCCTCGAATGAGTCTACTTGCGACTCAGCCGTATGCCAAAGAATTCGCCGAGGAAAGCAAAGCTACCGTTCCCACTTGATCTTAACCTCTGCGTCTGGGGTTCTTTCGTTGCTATCAGCCTGCGCACCCTTGTTTCCCAGCATCCTCAAACCGAGCAACGACGCCCAAGATACCGGTTCCACTTTTCGAGAGTTCAATCTTTATTTGAATAATTATGTTAGTATTTTGCTCGACGCCTCATTCGTTCACTAATTGTTAATAAGGAGCACAATCAACAAAACGCACGACCCGAACCATATGAGCCCTACTCGCTGGACACGATGTTCATGACATTTGGAGTTTTCTGCCTCACTACATCGTCTTTCTATGGTTGCAGATGCCACGACGTATATCAAGATTTCATTGTCTCTGTTGCGGTCCTTGGTGGCTTATATGTTCTACTAGCCACGGCTGCGCCTCGCGATGGATGGAGAGGGCTCCTGTTAGCCTTTATCTCTCTGATACCACCCTCTATCTCCTTCGGTATCTGTATAAGCATCATGTTTCACCAGGCGGTTCGCAGGTTATCTTCAAAGAAACCTACGAGGGGCTTGTGAATATACTACTTCGCTGAGTAAGTGTCAACGCCAACAGGCTTGGTAACAATTTCTATCATGTGCCAAACCAGAAGTTGAGGTCTATAATGAGAGGACCCCAATTACAGCCCTTTGAAATGTACTTGAGTCAACTCAAGGAAGAATTTGTGAAATATTGAAAGCTCAGACGGGCTGCGGGAGCTCATCGTGGTAGTCGGCGACCTGAGTCCTATAGAGGCCGAAAATGTGGGCCCGGAGCCGGAGCCGGACCCAGATCCCGACCAAGTGTCACTCCCGTCCTGTCACCTGGACCATGTTGGTACCATTCTCTTTCCAGATTCTAGACTCGCATTTCAAAAAATCTACCTTCAATCGAGTCGACAAGGCCGTCTCTGTCAACTCTTCGTAGCCAATTGTGTTGAGCTTGTATCGTATGCTAGGTAATTACGTCGTCTTAGCCGAAGATCTCTTTGGGGTAATGTCCAGTGGTGAGAGCTCTGGGCGTACGAGTTCCCTTACTAGTAGCTTCCAGAAGCCTGGCTAGCAAATAAGAAAGTGAAGATGTTCTCTCCTGGGTTTATGCTGCTCTCCAAGTCGAAGGTGTGATTCTGCTCAACCCCTTCAATGGCGTTCAAAACGCCGCACGAGAGATCCATTCAGTCAACATTGTGGGCAAAAGTCAATTAGTGTCTCGACACGATGCTAATACGATTACATCCCTCAAACCCTCTCCCAAACGCAGCCCGCATGCATTTTCATCAACAGCCAATCCCGGTCCCAAAGAGCACTAGAACGAACTCCCGCAGAACCCATGCATCTGTTTTGTGTGTGTGTCTGCTCATAAAGCTGTACGGCATACTGTGTTCTGCTTCATTCTCGCCACCTCCTAGTGCCTCTTTGAAGGTGAAGGCAAGGTGAGGTGGGGCGAACAATCATCCCTCACGATTATGACGCCTTGCCGGCAGTCTTCTCCTGCAACTTCTTGGGGTCGATGTGCTCGTCGCGATCCGCCTTGATGGCCTCCTCGCTGTCGGAGGCGAGCTCGGGCTTCCAGTGGCCCTTGCCCTGCTTCTGCTTGGAGAGAGAGTCCTGCTTGTGCTTCTCGTGCGTCTCGCTGTCGGTGTCTTTGAATGGGGAAAAGTGTCAGCTGACATCTCTCTAGCAACAGAAGGGGAAGAGTTCGTTCATGGGTAGGAGGGGTGAAAGGTTGGCAATGAAGGCGTCATCGAAGCTTGTGACTTCACCCCAAGCTCAATTGCCATGCATCCTTCTGCAGGGGAAAGAGGAAAGAAGGTAGAAAAGAGAAATAAGCGAGAGACTCACGTCCAGAAGACTCCTTCAGACCCTGCGTTCTCGTCGTGGAGATGCTGAAGCCCCGACCGAGGGGAGCGGTCTGTCTACCGACGACGAAAGCGCCGCGGGCAATAGGACGGGCAGACAGAGCGATGCGGGATGCCATTGTTGCGTAGGTATTTGGTTTTTGGATCTGTGGTAGAGGAAGGGGAGGGGGTATCACGGTGTAGGTTTGGATTATCGTGTTGTGTTTGCAGGCAGGTTCAATTGAACGGAAGAGAATCAAGATTCAATGAGGTATTAAAGGGGGAAAAGGGGCCAAATGATCACGACAACTCGGCAAAAGAGCTCAAGAAGTAGAGCAATAGCAATAACCTAGGTTAAGCTACTAGCTAGACGAGAAAGCAGCCGCCAGAAGCATGCGGCGCGCCGCTTCGTTGACCCGGCCGTGACGTCACTATTCATTGCTCTCTCCCTCTCTCGATTAGTTACATGGTGACATCTCCTCAGGACCGAGCTTTTTCCTTCTCCAGCTGGTTGCAGCAGCGCAGCTACCCGAGTGGCTGGAAGCATCGCCATGTCCCCGCAAATTGCCCTTTTAGAACGGGAAGGAGAGAGTTGCAGAAGACGAGGGCGGGGCATTGACCAACTGCCTGTCGACCATTTGCAAGCCCACAGTCACATCATCCAACGAAGGGGCCATCCATCCATCATCGCCGCTCAGAGAGACCTTCATACGCATCGTCATCGTCCTGGATTTTCTCGCCAGACTATGCTCAAATCTGGACCATGAATTCTCTCTCATGAGCCTCATCACCACCTGTGTGCAGACCTCCGTGCCCAATCCCCCGTTGACCCCTGACATAGACCCCCACCACGGAACCATACCCAGGACGGGATTTTCTTTCACTCTGGCAGTCCACGCTTCGTGCTTTGCTGCCCAGCTGCATCGTCATCATTGGCTTCCCCACCCCTCTCATCAAAGACCAAGTCCATCCCGGGACCGTGACCCCAACCCCCCCCCCCCCCCCCTCTCACTCTCCAAGCCATGATGATGCTCGTTGTATCCGTCCACTTCATAGTAATTTCGCCGGGAGGAAGAGAAATAGTAATAGTGGTTACAGTAATCTTCAAAAAATTGATCAGGAAGCACCGAGCCGCAGGATACCTCACCTTCATCGCCCACCTGCAGCACTCCATCCCCGCCAAACACCCCCCTCCCCTCGCAGCACCATGCAGAAACTCAGGCGGCGGGTAAGCAAGGCACCTCAGGTCCCTCAGGTCCCCTTCAGGCCCAGGATGAAGCCGGGCCGCGACCCAGGCACCAGGCACGCCGCACACCAGACTAACCCTTCAACGCCCCCAACACAAAACGCCAGAAACTAGAAAGTGAAATCCACCCGTCTCCCTTTTCCGAACCGCCCTCCATAGCGATACCAGCGCCTACAGAATCATACCTCGTACACAGGGGAAAAACGCAACCAAAAATCCTCCATGCTAAACTCTACTGCACAAAAAGCCCGACCTTCAACTCCTCTTTTCTCCCTCGCAGCCCGAGCTCAGCTTAGCTCAGATTCATTCCCCTTCTTCCCCCCCTCCGTCGTCTCCTCGGCGAACAAAGGGGGTTTCGAGGCAGGTGTGGGCCGGGAATCTATGTCTGATTTACTGACCCCCATCTCACGCAGCTCGATAGCAGCCGTCTTACAGTATCCTGCAATATATCAGCAATGTCACGGTTCAAGAAGGGGTAATATGCAGTAAGCGCGAGGACGGCATGTAGTCATCTCTTTATTCTAACAGTCGTGAGATGTATCTGATGCAAATGAGCAAGAGGTCAAACCCGGCTAGCAATATTTGGTCCTTCACCGAACGTCTACCTAATATTGTCACCATGATTCGGAACCTATTAGTAGCTGGTCACTTGCAATGATGGTTGGCAGTCACTGAATGACACTCCTGATGGACGGCTTTTGATGAACATATCGTATATTGCATTGCGCCTTGCTGGCTTCGCGCCACAAGATCAGACAGCTTGGTCTAATCCCATTCAACACCATTCGCATCTTGAGCGTTTCCTGTACAACCCCAAAAGGTATCCCGTTCTCCGACCCAGAAACCACAAGAGCCATTTATCGTCTCAAAACCGCTACCCAAGAAACACACAACTCTTCCGAGATGCTCGCGAAAGTGCCCAGACAAGGTATGACTCCACCACCACCAACCGTTTCCAGTGTCGCGAGGTGCTAGACCCTGCACCGCCGGAACATCGACCAATAGTAGTAAGAATAGTCCATCCTCGAATAATGAAATGAGAGAAGAGGCGCAAGAAAGCAATAAAGGACTGCGCGATCCCCGTCCACATCGCTCAACCAAACAAGGTAACAATGCAGAGGTTCGCCAGCAGGCCGCACCCAAAATTCATGACCAACTCCACCTTTCCCAAAAAGGTATTTCCCGGTACCGTTTCCAAGCTTTGGAGATTTGCCGCAAAACAATAGCAACGCATGTCTTTGCCCGCCACCACCCATTTGATATTTCCCATGTGAGCCCATAACAGAAACACCTGTTGCCCCCCCGCTCCGAATAAGTTGCTGAAAAGACACTCATTCTATATGTCGAGATAATCTTTTCCGGAATGACTTCGTGACCCGTCGAGCACCATGATGAGCAACAGAAATTTTGAATCATCTTGGAAAACAAAAAAGTCGTCCCGCTGTCCGTGAAAAAAGATGCCGAGAATTAATTATATCCGAGAACTCCGCCGTGGTGTGATTTCACACCGATGCATGTCGTGAAAATGCAAAACCATCCGTGTGGAAAACGCCATTCGTGCAAGTCCAACCTCATCTTGCGAGGTAAGGACACCGAAAGATTTTTGTCGAGTTTTTTTGTAGTCGAAAATACCCAAAAAAAGGAGAAAGGTATCGATAACTTCTCATTCCGCGCCGTAGGAAAAAGCCTCGAAGGGGTTTTTGTCGGTTTAACAGGGTATGTCGTTGAGGTTGTTTGTACAGGAGAGGAATGTCGTTTGAGCCAACAGATGACCAGACCACGCCGGCAGTCTAGCCAATACCTTGAGGTACCCAGCCCGCAAGAGAGAAAATCATCGATGCCATTGCCATTTTTCGTCTTCTTTTTTTTTTCGGTGCCCGCCAAGATGGTCGGTGTAAACAAGCCGAATGAGCAGAAATTTTACACATCAGCATGCATCGGCACAAAAGGCAAGGAGTACACCAAGCCCTCTGTCACGAGAGCGGGATGAACTCCTTACCATCTGCGACCCATGCCCTGCTGCATCCGGGCGGGGGAAACCGAAGGCGGCGGGCTCGACATGGTGATGCCGGTGGCAGGGTTGACGATGGGAATGGCATTGCGGGCGCGGGTAGCCGCAGGCTGATGGAGCTTCAGGCTAGACTGCTGGTACGCGGGAGGGATGAAGGCGGGAGAAGAAGAATTCAGCGAGAACCCAGGGGCGACGGTCTGGGGTTGCTGCGTCGGCGAGGACTCAGGAGAGTTGCTGGCCAGAGACGAACGCTCAGAAGAGCTGTGGATGGAGTTCATCTGCAGCGGGCGACCAATATTAGTCACCGGATCATGAGAGACAGATCCAAGGCTCCGAGATACTTACGTCGCTGTCGGTCAACAGGCCAGGGCAGAATTCCATGTCGTCTTCGAGGTCGAAAGAGCGGCCGGCCTCAAACTTTGTGCGGAAAGCGTTAAGGGTAGCGGACTCGGTCAGCTCCTTCATGCTTCGCACGCCACGGAACTGCTTGTGCTGGTTCTGGGAGACGGAAAGACGGGGCGCTCTGCGATTGCGGCCGCCATGGTGGTTGTGGGAGGCACCGGGGACGGCGGGGGTGGGATGCGCCTGGTGGTGGTTAAACTGGTAGTATGAAGACATTATCTATGGATGTTTCGGAGGTAGATGCCGTGGTGATGTCGTGGTGGAAGGTCGGAGAAGGGGTGCCGTTTTTTGTTGGTTGGGAGGCAGTGTGGCGGATGTGCGGGTGGTCTTATGTGGGCGAGCCGAGCTGTGCGGTATTATTGCAGTTTGAAACACAAACAATGAAACCTGCCGAGTCGACGTTGTGCGAGTGGTAAAAATGTGTACGATGAATAGGTTCAAGGTAGAAGAGATCGTTGGAAGAAGCAATGCTTTTTCTTTTAGGTCGTTTGGTATGTATGATCGTTTGTGGAAGCGTTTTTGTGGTTTAGAGGTTTGATGATGTGGTGGGAGGAAAAAGGTACGTCTGGAAAGAGGGGGGAGAGAGATGTTGAAAAGTATCGGGAGGGAAGAATCCGGAGAAAGCGATGGTTTTGTTGGTTCGAGCAAGACGGTGGGAAGGGTGGGAGGACGGTGGAAAGGTGAGCGGGCAGGCGAGAGGAGCGACGAGGGCACGGAGGGCAAGGAGAGGACACTGGGAGGGAAGAGGGGGCGGCGGTGGACCCACAGCCTGCCCAATGGGAGATGATCAGAAGACAGTGTGACTGTGGTCAACACTGTGACTCCACTCCTTGACGCCATATGCGAGTTCGCCACCCTGTTTCCATTGGCTGGCAGATCTCAAACTATAGCGACCAGGGACTAGCGCGGCCTAGTGGGCTGGTGTAAATTTGGGGCGTGGCGCCGGCTGCCGTCAACCCTACCAGTGCGGCGGACAGTACATTGTCGGGGTGGGGCATAGGCTGGCCGTATTTGGATGGGGGAGACGATGAATGAGTGAGTGAGCGAGCGAGCGATGGAGTGAGTGAATGAGACTGGGGCACACACACCACATTCACACGGTACACCAGGGTTGGATGTTGAACTGAACGGTAAGGTGACTGCGCAGCGGGCGGGAAGGCAAGGCAAGATGTGGGAAGCGAAGAGTTACGTGTGCCCGGCAAGCCTGGGTGAACCTGGTCAGAGGGTTCGACAGTGAATGCGATGCGCTGGGGTCTGTATGGCTGGCGAGATCACTGAGAGTGTGGCCCTCCCACGCTCTCTCTCTCTCTCATCTTCACTCTCATTTTCACTTTTGGTCTCATTCTCACTCTCACTCCAAAGTTCAATACCCATCTCAGTCTGGCACACACTCACACATCTCACCGTCAGTCTCGGCAGACGGTAAACCTGCATCCCTCCTCCCCTTCCTCTTTCCCATCCCCCACCCGTCTTGGGCATTCCACGTCGGAACATGGACGCAGGGCAAGTTGATGCGTGGCATGCAGGTACCGAGTCTGCCTTTTGCAGGACGCACTGTGGGCCTTGTTTTTCTTCAATCTCAGCCCTTTCACAGTGCTGACAGCCGCGAAGGAAACTCCTTCCCCCCAAAAAAAAGCCTCCTGAGTCGGAGAATCGCCGGCGCCAGTCGCTTGTTCTTGTTCTTGTTTACAATTCTGGTACCGCTTGCGGCCATGCGAGAGATTGGCTGCCCACACCTGTCATTCCAGAACCCCAGTGTGCGCGGTGATTGATGGGGTATCAACCAGGAGCACATTCAATATTGCTGCGGTACGAGAGAACAGAGCGAGATTAGAGATGAGACATGATACGGACGGTGGATGAGGATTGAGGAGGGCACAGCACTCCTCCCTCCCTCCCATCTTGCACCGTCTATCATCCACCCAGTGCCACCATCCACCGTCTCCCCTTCTCTCCCTGCCACTGTAGGTAGTCTGTCAGTCTGTCACTGTCGAATCCTCGAGTAGCCAGTAGTGTCGCCTTGATGTCTCTCCTCACTCTATGCCAGGGCTGTGTCGAGATGTCTCTCCTTTGTGATCAAGTGACCACTCTCGTCCACCTCTCCTCTTGCGGTCTTGAGGCTTGTCTTGCCTAGGGGACTCTCGGTCCTGGCCGTGGTCCGACCAACGGCGTGTGTCTTGCTCTCGTCCAGTCTTCGCCCGTACGCTTCGGCGTCCCTCTTCTTCTTCTTCTTCTTCTTCTTCTCCTTCTTCCTCATTCCTCCTGTTATCCGCAAAGCCTTACGCACTTCAGCACTCTCCGACCTCGTCCGGAATTCTAGGCGACGCTAAAGAACCCTCCGTGGCGGATGGCATTGTTTGTTATCGTTGTCTTCGAGGCAGTCCCGCCCAAAGTTCGGCAAACTTGTCAGTATGCTTTGCGCTGACGCGGTGCAATGTCTGATGATAGAGAGACCTTTGGGATGCACGCACGATGGCATCGTCTTTTTCGGTGGTTGCTTATGATCCATCGCATGCTCTACTGCTACCACAGGGGCATTAAACTGGCGCAGTCTGATGTTCAGAAACACGAGAAACGCAGCCTAGTGTTTCCCATTTCTTACGCTGCAATAAACACCGTACGGAGAATCCAACGGTAGGAGTCTGCTTCCCGGGTTCCTCATACTCGGCTGGCTTCATGTCGTCCGCCCACCCACAGTGTGTATTCCGATCAGAGCATCAAAAGGTCGACTGTCGATTGCGCCGCCTATCTGCTTCAGTCCAAAGTGAAACCCTCCCGACCCTCTCTGCTGGGTGGCCCTTGTCCGGCCGAATCCCAACCTTTGGGGGAGAGCCAGCCCTCAGAGGCTCAGCCAACCGAAGATGGGGGAAGAAGAGAGGAAGACATTAGAACGGACGGGACTGCGTGATGCATTGTGTGCACTGGGCAGTGGGCAGACTGAACGGTAGAGGACGAGCTGCAGCTGGAACAGTGCAACGCACCACCCGCCCACTCTCTCTTTTTCTCTTTCCCCATCTCCTTCGCTTCTTCCCACCTCACACACACCAACCAAGGTCGGTCCACGGTACCACCAGCGGTCTGGAGTCTGCACATCTGCACGGCGGCAGCAAGACAAATGGATTATCGAGGCTTCGGTCGAGCATCTAGTGGAGGGTCAAGCATCCAGCTGCGGATACGTACCTTCCAGCGTGGGATTACCAGCCATGGACGACCCAAACAATGTCGCCGGCTGCTCACACTGTCCACCACCCACACTGTGATGTGGCAGAGTGCCAGAGACATTGCCCAAGGCCCCAAAGATCCTCCACTCTCATTGGGTACATACACATGGGAGGTGCTGTTGCACACTGCTGCAGGAGGTTAGAGCCCCGGGATGCATGACGGACAACGGCCCTCTGCTCTCCTGCTGCTGTAGAGAAGAGAAGGCAAGGTACCTACGTGTTGGTTCCTGCCCTGCTTCGTGTGTAGGTACCTAACCTTTCATGCGAAAACAGAAACAGAGAGAGAGAGACACACACACACACTACACACACACACGCACCCGTGGACGCACACACAGGGCTGTGAGCCAGTGACATGCAGACACTGGGTGGATCTTGGTGCCGCTATGACTGCTCGCTAGACCCCTGGTCTGGTGCAAAAGAAAAACAATAACCGAGAAATGACCATGGGCCCTTGACCTTCTGGCCTGGATTCGGAAACGTGGCGGCTGGCACGCTTGGAGGCGAATCAAGCGACAGACCGCACCCTGAATGTCACTTTTGTGGACCTGACAATTTAGGCACCAAGTCATGTAGTCCACAGTGTGCGACTGCCACTTCCGCAGGCTGCAGCCCACCTGCCGTGGAAGCTACCACGCTTCTCACCTTCCATCTCTCACACAGGGCACACCGCAACTGCCCACCTCACACACCAGAACAGGGAAGGCAGCATCTTGGGTACGTACTTGGGCAGTCAGCACCTTCAAGGTTCTCTTTGCCTTCCATCTTGATGACCAACTTTTCCATAAGGCGGACAGTCCCTTCCCCATCACTAACAGCGGGGCAACCGTTTGCCAGTCCGTAACTGACCGATCTCACCGTCACACTCGCAGTCACTCACTCACTTACTCACTCACCCCACTCACAACCTGCTCTTGCTCTCTTTCACCTCACTCAGTCCCCACGCAGACGTTTACGCAGATCTCAGCAGAGGTCTCTCGCCCCATATCGTCACTCGTCACTCTCTGCCCCTCCCCCTCCTTCACCCCAGCATCATCCGTCAGTGGCCAAACCATGAACAGGCCATGATGGAAGCCCCAGACCTGTTTATCGATCCATGCCTCTTCTCTTTCCATTCTAGCACGTCTTGACTCTTGGCTTCAGTCATTCAGCAACTCCCCAGTGCCGTGCATGCGTACGGATGCTCCGTACGGATATCCTGCTCATGATCCGTCAGATCTTGCGACTGCCGGCCGATGGACTGCTGCTGCTGCGGAGGCGCCAGGTCGAGATTAAGGTAAGCTTCGACATGCCATACGCATGGGAGCAACTCTATCGCCATCGATAATAGCTTCCAGCTGCGGCGGTGGGCGCCAAACGCCTTCTAGACCAACTCTCGACTGGGACCATACGTTCCACACCTTCTATCCGTACGGCGAAAGCGTGGGATTTGCTGTGGTACCCGACCTTGCACCAGCACTGCATGAAGTGGACGGGCCTCCCGCGCGACCACGCCAGCAGCGCCCCTGGGCCAGACCCTGGAACGAATGTGTCTCTCAAGTCCCTGGTCTCTGGCTCTCTGCTCCCCGGCCGTGGCACAGTACAGCTCCCTTGTCCACCCGCCGATGGCTGTGAAGACAGAAGGCAGAAGCGCTGAAGGCTGAAGCCGGCATTGACAAGTCGCCCCTGCTGCGGAGGCCAATCTGCCAGTCCAGTGGAGGTGAATCGGGGCAGGGCACGGCTGGGGCCCCTAGGGGTCTTGGGAGAGGGGCCTATAGGAGATGGGAAACCATCTTGAGACACCTGACGATGGCTTCGTGATCTCTACAGTGGAGCTCATAGGGGAATCCGAGTGACGAAAGGGGGCAGAATCGCATTCCCCTCGCCTTGTCACCCCACGTCCCAGTCCGTCACCTCGACAGTCAGCCCGGTCGACCAGTCAGTCACCCAGTCCTCCGATCAACCGTCATCCCGTCCGCTCGCTCTCTTGCCTTTGGCAGCGCCACGACAGTCACAGCACCGGTACGGATACATGGCCAGGGCTCATCTCAACAATGTAACGGGCATTTGTTCCGTTTGCCTACCGTTTCCATGCCATCCAATCGTGCCGGTCACCTAATGTCCCGCGCAATGGAACTGAGGACTGCTATTTTGGTCGCCCAGTCGGCTCTCTACGCTACGGATACTGGTTGGATGCTTGCACGCTGTGCAGAGAGGCCAGAGCCGGACGGTCCTGGGCGCAGGGTTCCTGGATTCGCCCGTGCCTGGGAAGGCCGAGGACCCTTTCAGCAGACTGCAGCAGACGTAGGAGCGGCATCCCCTCCTTTATCCAGGACTGGTTCCATATCGGGACAGGATTGACACTCAACCTCGATGTCCTTCTGCCGGGCTCTTGTTTTTCTTCCGAACGAGCTCACAGCACAATGCCTGCAGCAACGCAAGCCAACATTCGCCAGGTTGCCAGGGTCTACTATGTATGTACATAGTGTATCCGTAGACAACAAGTAAAGAAAAGCAACATGGTGGTGTGGGGACTCTGCCATTGAGTTCGACCTTCGCTGTCACACAGTTCCTGTTGACCCATCCAATCCACGCTCGATGCTCTACACCTACCAACGCCGAAGCTCCTCTGGAAGGAAGGATTCGATGGCCGGTTGGACAACCTTCTTCTGTTGCTCTTGGTCTCCAGCCTCTGGACCAACCTTCCAGCCTCACCAGCTGTGCCATCACCAATCAGTCCCCCGCTAACTTCCAAACCCTACCATATCAACGCCCGCGTGAAACCAAAAGTGTGCGATGTGCATGGCGGCGGACGGCATGTTTGCGCCCATGTGAGGCAGCTGACGGAGGATCGGTGTTGTTCCTTTGAGTTGACAACTTACGTTGGTCGGCTCACCCCACGAGATCTTGCGGATTTGCTCTCTCGGTGAATAGGATCTAGCAGCCATGGGAAAGGCAAGGGAGGACACACGGACGGTAGACCAACAACAAGGTTGAGGGGGGCATGGGAAGACATGGAAAAGCCCCTTCTTCACTGCCACACCGCCATTTTGGCATTCAAGGTTGGGCCAGACTCGATCCAGATAGCGGATTGTGTGCATCGCTTGCTGCGGCGGCGGATTATTCCTCTCGCCTGTCTCACCACCTCACCTCGTTCCCCGGGTTCTACGCCAACCGTCTCAGTGGGGGGACGCTCCGACCACCTTGCCGCCACTCTCTCTCACCGTTCCCATCTTCCCCTCCCCCTCCTTTGTCCTTTGGGGGGTTGGAGAAGTACGAAGACGATAGCTGGGAGCTGAAGCTCACCTTGGGTTGGCGAGGCAAACACGGCTAGCTACCAGCTGAGCCACCTCGATGGACACCATTATCTACGGATACACTATCGACCTGGCTTGCAAAACATAGGGCTTCCTGCATCGACGGTAGAGCATCGAAAAAGCAAAAACAGAGGCGTAGGAATGCGAACGGTTCGGCGTCGCCAGCGACAGGGCCGGGACAGCAGTCGATGAGCTAAATCGACGCATCTGGCATGCCGGCGGCACTCAACTGGTGGTGCATGGCATGGCAGCCATGCCATACCATGCCATGCCACCTCCAGCACAGCGGTGCCAATAGTGGTGGGGCAATCTGCCAAACGGCACAGTGCTTGCTTGGCGGTCTGCTGGTTCAGGGCTATCAGCAGGTATGGACGGCAGCGTGAGGTGACTGACTGGCTGGCCTGCTTGCTTGCTTGCTTTGGTCGAGGATGGGCTTTGCTGGCGAGCGAATCCCGCTCCGCTTCCATCCGATGCATCTCCGGCGCGGATGCAACAAGACGCAGCATCTCGCGGCGGTGTCTTGGACTCAAGTGGTTCGCTGTCGGGACTAGACAACATGCTGCCGCTGTAGGGCAGAGAAAGAAGTCTTCATTCTTTCCGCTATATGCGCTGTTCTTCACCCCACCCAGTCACCTTACCCGGCAGACGTCGAGGGTGAAGACAGGGTCTCCGGGTCCCGAGTGAATGGCATTGTTCAGATTCCCACTAAACAGAAACAGTCGAGGATCCGCCCCAAGGCCAAGGCTCCATTCTGTGCCCATGGGGGATCGAAGGAGAGAGTTGGCTACTCTGCGACGTCACCCCTCTCGGAGGGGCGCGGAACCTGGCGGCGTCGCCGACGATGAGTCTAGGGAATATCCGTATGCGATGCCTCTCTCTTTAGGGAAAAGTATCAAGCTCTCGGCTCGATAGTTTTCAAAAGTCTATCAAGTGACGACGGGAATCCACCAAGGAAACCGAACACTCACGGTACTTGAGCGATTGTCATATCCCTCTCCCCATGCGTTACGTGTGTATCTACCGTACAGTGTTGCCTCCTCTACCCGGTCTCCGTGTGGTGACGGGGCTTCCGTCCCACCCCGGCGCAGCACCCGCAATCCCATACCCGCGGATACAATCCGTCATGTGAAATCTCTCCCGCAACCAAGACCCAACCCTGTTGTACCGCAACCGCAATCCATTCCCGCGTACACCGCAAGCCTCGCAGCCCGCCCGGACGGTCGCACAAACATCCTTACCAGCAAGTGATTGGCCTGAGAGTTCTGAATACCTCTCTCCCCAAAGGACCCCCAGGTGGAGAGAGATACATAATGAGGGACGGGTTGCTGGAGAGGCACCTCCCGCAAATAGGCCTCGGTCTAGGCCTAGGAGCAGCGGCCGCCGCCACCCTCCTCGTCCTCGTCTCCCGAACCACCACCACCACTGCCGCCTCCCCCTCCTACGCATCCGCCCTCCCGGCCCCGCGTCCGGCGAGGGACAGCCGCAAGACGGCCCGCTCGCCGAAGTGGACGACGACGCGGGACCCGGGCTGCGACGAGCGGTTGCCGTACCCGCCCGACGTGTTCCCCGGCGCGCGGGACGTCACGACGGCGTACGGGAACCTGCGGGTGTACGAGTTTGGGCCGGAGGCGGCGGAGGAGAGAGTCCTTTTGCTGCATGGTATCGGGACGCCTTGTCTTGCGTTGGGGGGTATTGCTGGGGAGTTTGTGGAGAGGGGGTGGAGGGTTATGACTTTTGGTGAGTCTTTTTTTATGATGGTGATGATGATTGTGAGAGGTGGTATATGTCATTGAGGATGTGTGATTGTGCTTATGAGCCGTGATATCCGGAATGTGAAGTGAAGAACATTGTTCAGCGTGTTGTTCAGTATTCGAATGATCTTGGCAGCTTGGGTCTTACTCTCGAAGCAAACCACTCATCTCACTCATCGAACACATTACACACCACACATCACACGTTATACAGAACCCCCACCCTCTCGCTCTCTCCCCCTTTCTCACCCCCTTCACGACCATCCCCTAACTAACACCGCCAGACTTCTTCGGCCGCGGCTACTCCGACGCGCCCCTCGACCTCCCCCACGACGCCCGCCTCTACACCACGCAGATCCTCCTCGCGCTCGCCTCCTCCCCCTCGCCGGGCTGGACCGGCAACGACGCCTTCCACCTGCTGGGGTACTCCCTCGGCGGCGCCGTCGCCGCCGCCTTTTCCTCCACGCACCCGCACCTCGTGCGCTCGCTCAGCCTCGTCGCGCCGGGCGGGCTGGTGCGCAGCGGAGCGCACGTCGGGTGGCGGAGCCGCGTGCTATATAACGCGGGGTGGATTCCGGAGTGGGTGAGGAGGTGGGTTGTTGGGCGGAGGTTGAGGCCTGTTAAGGTGGGGGGCGGGGTGGTCGGTGATGTGCCGGAGAAGGAGACTGTTGATGATGACGAGGCGGAGGAGAAGAAGGAGGAGTGGGATGAGCTCAGGCTCGTGGGCGGAGGACGGATTGGGGAGGTGGTTGGGTGGCAGCTTGCGAGGCACCCTGGGTTCGTGACGAGTTACATGTCGACGATTCGGCACGCGCCGATATATGACCGCGGGGACGAGGAGTGGAGGGTTCTGGCGGAGGTGTTGGAGGCGAGGCGGAGCAGCTGTGGTGATGGTGGTGGTCGGGGATGGTCGTCGGAGCCCGGGCTGAGAAAGGGGCGGGTGCTCTTCCTGCTCGGTGAGGACGATGACATTGTCGTGCTCGGGGAGACGGTGTGGGATGCGGAGAGAGTGCTCGGAGAGGACGCGGTCGAGGTCGTTGTCCTCGGGGGCGGGCACGAGATTGCCATTACCAAGGGGAGGGAGATTGTGGGTGCCGTCGTTGCTGCGTGGGAAAGGAGGGCGTAGGGAGGGCGAGACGTGAGGTGAGAGGAGAGTTTTTGTTCTTTCCTGCTGGGGGGTTTTTACTGGACGTTTGTATGATGATGGAGGGAGGGATAGAGTTGTTGGCTTTTGGTGGGTAGAGTCTCAGAGTCATTGGTAGAGCCTCGTATAGATTATATGCTAGAATGGAATGGGGTAAGAGAGTTTAGAATGGGTTGAGAGTCTGAGAGGAGGAGATTGATGGAGCCGTGTCAAGTAGAATTTAGGCGAAAATTCGTTACACGATCTGGGACAGTTCGTTCGCCTGTTGCTTGCTTGGATCTGTTTGCATGTCACGATCCGTTCTATCTCAAGGAGAAAGTGATCACAGAAGACTATTCCCCCAGAGAGAAGCATCACAATGAAAAGGCCCGGCGAACCAATTTCTGAAATGGACTTTTGTTACTATGCCTTGTCTTTTACGTTTCCTCCCTCCCCGATGCAGACTTCCATCACAACTGTCGTGTCTCCCTCGGTAGAGATATAGCCCCCATCGGAAAGAAGAGGGACCATTTCCAAGGTCGACAGACCAGTCGCGAAGGGAAAACCCAATCACACATACAAAAGAGATCTAGAAAACTCCAAACTGCCCACACCAATGTTCCCATATCCCCGTAGTCCCAGTGTCATCATGATATCCCGAATGCCGTGTCCCCAATGTGTCCTTGTGTTCCCAGCGACAGAAAAAGAAAAACAGACGAGCGAGTGCCTCCCGGCTCAAGTCAGAGAGAGGGCATCCCCAAAACACCCGCCGCGGCTGACAAACAGCCAATGTCGACTGCTCCAATGCGGCGAAAGAGAGCGAGAGAAGACACATCGAGAGAAAAGAGAGGGAAAGAGAGAGAGGCTTCAACCACGCCTGCCGCCCTTCTTGTTCTTGTTGTTGGGCTTCGGTTTCTCGTGCGTATCAGGAGCCTGCTCGCCCTCCAAGGCCGACTGATCGTGGTGCGTGTGTGAGTTTGACGCTTCGCCCGTATCGATCATCGCTGCCTTCATTTTGCTCAGGACCTCCGCTCTGTCCCTCTCGGCCTTGGCCTTGTCCACGGTTGCGCCTGTAGAGTAGTCTGGACCCTCCTGCAAAGGGCCAAAAGCCTCGAGCAGCCATTCCCGAAACTTTCCTTTGCTCGGATCTCCGTCCACGGTCTCCTCGAACCACTCTTGAGGAAACCATCCGGCAAAGTCGTCGAATGGGGCGGCGCTGGCGACTTCGTAGGGATGAATCGGGTGCGGGACGAGCTCCAAGCAGTGAATGCCATCGGCGGCATGCTTCACGTATTTGGTCGTTGACCAAAGGCGTGCGCGACTGAGATCGAAGAGAACCGTCCGAGGCTTGTCGAGATCGCGAGTTCCGTCTCGCATCGTGATGTAGACATGGCGAGGCTCATAACAGCCATCCATAACCCCCGTGTGCATGTGTCTGACGTTGCCGTCGATGAGCTGCCTGAGAACCTCCATCCGCGTGTCGTGGTTGATGTCCAGAAGCACTGGGCGTCCCGTGTCGGATTGGTGAAATTCCAACGGCAACTCATCGTCCGGGACGAGATTACCGTATTCATCTCGGTTGCAGAGATCCTCAATGGAGTAGCCGTCAATGTACTCCATGAGGATGAGAGCCACGGTTTTGTACTGGACGCGCCGTTCGGGAGTCTCGCCGACGGCGAACCTGACCGCCCAAGTACCGTAGTACTGCGCAGTGAGGTGCGGCGGTCCGGTCAAGTTCTTCCGATAGAGATGCTGGTAATGGCAGCTCTCTCGGCTGAGTGCGCCGTCAGCGAGTTCAATGTTGCTGATCGGCGTGCCGTTGTATTTCGGCCAGAGCTTGTGGTCGAAGACTTTGGCCACTACTTGAGTCTGTGGGACGGGAAGCTCCACGTCGGTGTCGCTGTTCATACACTCGGGCGAGGGCAACGCAATGATCTTGCAACGGAAGACTTGAGGTCCGGGGTTCAGTGAAAGGCGTTCCAGCACCTCAAGTTCGAGATGCTCATCCTTCAGGAAACATCGGTGAGGGTCGAAGTGGCGAAGATCAGGGCCAGGTGGTGGGTTTGGAAGATACTGAGAGGTGCCATGAGGCTGGACTGGTCTGTACTTGGTGAGATTCAGGATGCTGCCTGGGCAATAATGGTCGGAATCGGCATAAACGCGAGACATGTTGCCAATGAAGCCGATGAGAGAGTGGTGTATCAGACTGTTCTTGCGGATGCTATCGGTGACTCTGGCTGCAAACTGAGAATGGAGGAAGGTGGTCAGATTGAGTGGAAATAGAGAAAGCCTTAGGGAAAAAGAAGACGAGCAGGTAGTCCAGAAAACTAAGTAGGGTAAGAGTCCCGTCTCCCTTTCTCTTGTTTTTCTTGTCCTCTTCCGCCTCCTCCCTGAGAGGTCTAGAGTGGCGAGAAGAATTTGCTTTCCGTTGAAAAGGCGGCAGCAAACGGATGTGTGACAAATGAGAGTGAGAGTGAGAGTGAAATTGAGGGTGAGAGTGAAATGAGGTTGAAAGTGAAATCGAGAGTGGGGGGATATTGCAAGTCCAAGTGTCTCGGCTTTTCAGATTGAGGAAGATGTACCTTGCGGGAAGCCACCACAGAGGTTGCACAAGAGACTAGAAAGGTTCCCATCTCCGAATTAATCAACCAAGGACGAACAAAACTCAACCACACAAGACGCCTCACACAGGTAACGAAGGTGGGTTTGCTTCTATCTCTTTCTCCATAGCGGCTTGATTATTGTAATTTCAAACGGAGGCTCTCCTTTCAAAATGTTGCAAGTACCCTATGATTTTTTCCACCGCATTG